TTTTTTTTTTTTTTTTTAATTGGCTTGCCGATAGTCTTTTAGGCATCTTTTGTATAAAACAAAGATGTGTTTATAAATATATGAATTATAAAATTGATTAATTTCTAGTCTTTTTTTAAGAAAACAAGCTCACTGTCAGTCGATTCTGACTCACAGCAACCCCCACTGGGTTTCCAAGACTGTAAAGCATTACGGAGGCAGGCTGCCTCATCTTTCTTCCATGGAGCAGCTGGTGAACCACCGACCCTTTGGTTAGCAGCCAAATGCCTTAACCACTACACCACCAGAACTCCTTAGTTTAAAAGATAGTCGAAAAATCTTTTCAGCTGAAATGAGATCTAGTAAGATAAGCAGCATGCCTGAAACACAAGCAGTATGTGAAATGGGACAAAATGCCACTTTCCTGGCCTTCTGAAAGCACTGTTCGAGGTTTTTGGGCTGATTGGCCAGCGATGCCGTGTCTCATCTCCGACTGACCCAGTGCAGACTCTCCCATGCTCCTCTTATTCCCTGATGCATAGAAGGAATGTCTGTAAGGGAAAAAGCTGTTTGTCAATAGCCCTTTTAGATTGGGTCTTAATTTTGCCAAATACTTGTATAACTTTGCAAAAGACTGTTTCTTTGCCTTCTAATTGGAAACACACACACACACACACACAAACCAGGAGATGTGTGCAGGGTGGTTGTGAGAGTCCCCTGACAGTGCCACCTGCCCTGTAAGTACTCTGGAAATGTTGATAACGGACAGAGAGATGGCTTTTAAACACTTTGCTAGTCGGAACCACTGTAGTTGGAAATGTACTTTTTGTAATAATAAAGACTACAAAATGAGGTTGGCTATTGTTTTTCATTCGTAGAAAACCCTAGGGAATTTAGAACATAAGGTGGTTCCCCTGTTAAGGAAGTCACACTTTGTACATATTTACCTTTGTGGTTAAGTCGTGTTTTCAAAATAGCACAACTGGAAAAGCCATGTGTTCTGGTGAGCCATGTTGGACACCAAGGGGTGGAGGATGCATGCCTTGGCTTAGTTACTGACTTGCTTTGTCATTGGACACGTCAGTACACCTTTCCGTTTCCTGACTGCTGTTGGGTGCCATGGAGGTGATTCGTACTGGTCGTGATCCCATGTCACAGAGCGAAGTGACTGCCCCACAGGGTTTCCTAAGCTGTAATCATCATGGGAACAGATCACCAGCTGTCTCCTGCAAGGCTGCTGGTGAATCCAAACTGGCGACTTTCCAGTTAGCGGCCGAGTGCTTAATCATCGTGCCACCAGAGCTCCTTACGGTTTCCTGACCAGGCTGCCTAGAGCGTGTCTGACCAAGAGACAGTGACTAGGGCATGTTATGACATGTGCTTGTGGAAGACTCGGTCCCATATAAAAAGATACCATGGAAAGTCTCCTAAGAACAGGGTTGTGGGAAGGTGAACAGCACGCTGCTTTGCCCTGTCTTCCTCCCCCATTTTACCAACCTGGTGAGTTCGAGCCTCAGTTCAGGGTGGGTGGAGGTGGAGGGATATGTGTCTAGGAAGAGCTTGTGGTTTCCTCTCTAGAGATCTGGTCACATCTGAGGTCAGTTCCAGCCTAAAGAACTTAGAAAGATCCTATCTGGTTCTCATTCTGTTCTTAGGCGATGTTTGGGCATCTTCGGGGATATACTCAGTGTGTCTCTTTAGAAGACTCAGCCTTGGGAGAAGCTTGGGCTATTTTGTCTCTGTTCCAGCTTTTGGAAGGTCGAGGGCCACAGCTAATCCTCCCTTCAGGTCCTGTTACCGAGAGTATGTGCCTTAAGAGGAATTAAAAAAACAGAAACCAACTCAGTGAAATTTTGTTCCATGACATAGTCATGGTAAAGATTTAATAATAACAAATGAATTAAGTTGTTCTTTGCAAATGTCTTTTGGCTTTCTGAGCAAGGATTTTCTTTCTCTGCTTCTGACCTAAAAGTTCACAATAGTCCTTGAAAAACATCTGTTCAGCCATGAGTTGGAAACATTTCTTTTACCTGAAGTTGAGGCTGAATTTGACTAGATCTTTTCAAGGCTTAAAAGGTTATGAGCACAATTTCACAAATGGGAAACTATTTTGAATGTTTTCTTTCTTTTTTCTTTTTCCATACCTTTTAGGGGAAGCTCTGGTAGCATAGTGCCTAAGGCACTTGACTGCTAACCAGAAGGCTGGTGGTTCAAACCTACCAGCCACTCCTTGGAAGGAAGGTTGGGTAATCTACTTCCGTAGTGATACCGCCTCAGAAACCCAAGGAAGGGTCGCTATGAGTTGGGTCCGACTCAACAGCACATAACAACAACAACAACATACTTTTTAGGCACCAAATAGAGCTTGCTCAGTTGAATTGAATCAAATTGTTAAGCATACCCAAACCCCATTGCCATTTAGTCAAATTCTGATTCATAGAGAGCCCATAGGGCAGAGTAGAACTACCCCCTAAGGGTTTCCGAGGCTGTAAATCTTTACAGAAGCAGATTGCCTCATTTTTCTCCCTCAGAGTGCCTGGTTGGTTTGAACCACTGTTTGGTTAGCAGCCCAGAGCTTTAACCACAGCACCACCAGAGCTCCTTAATTGAAACATGCCCAGCAGAAAACTACTTCTAGCCTCTGGCTTGAGAGCTATAATTGAGTTCGTTTGGAAACCAGAATAATCCTGGCCCAGTTTTAATGTAAGAAAACTCTCCAAAGCACCTTGGCTAGAACCTCGTGTTGCAGAACCAGACCATAAAACACGAGGGCGGGGCCCTTCACATGGTGGGACTCTGCCGTTCCTTCCCCAGGAAACCAAACCCACAGTGAGTACAAGTCTGCAGACTGTGTGGTCTAGTTCAGCTGCTCCATCAGCATGAACAGTGGAAAACCGAGTTCAGGACAGAACGGGAACCCACAAGGCACATCGTAGACATTCAGAGAACATCGCTGCTGCCTTTCCCTCTGCTGCCTTTCTGCCCCATGAAGAGATACAGAGGCCCAAGAGAAGAGGGAAAGTTTGACTCAAAAGGAAAAAGAGTTGACATAAAAGAACCACCCACACCTCCTGGAACTTACAGGTGTTTGTGTGGTGTGCACCCAGCTTACACACATTTGACCAGAATACTTCGCTCATGTCGTCTTCGATCAGTGATGCTGTCTAACTCAAAAGACAGCTTACTGTGGGTGACCCGTTTGCCTCACGTCCAAGAATCTCTCCCAGACCAAGATAGCAAGGCCGAGGGGATACTTGCTTCCCGTTCTGCTTGCACAGGGTGATTCATTTTCTTCCATTAAAAATGAATCTAAAAGCCTTATTCTCTCTTTTTAGAAAAAAAAAAAAAACAGAATCCATCGAGTGTTTCTTGAGGACCTGTTGTGCTCTAACCATTCTTTATGGTACAGTCTTTATGTTAGTGATTTAATAACGAGAATTCAAGACCAAGGTCTAGTCATCAGAAATAAACGACTCAAGAAAGATCTGGCTTTTTTTCCTTTGTGTGTGACAATATTTCACTTATAAATACATGTTTTTAGTTTAACTTTAAAAAAAAAAAAATTATGGTAAAAGTTCATGTAGTAAAACATTTCTCTTCGAATTTTTTACGTGTGCGAATCTGTGATGTGAATTCCATCCATCATGTGCAGCCATGTCCATGTCTCACTCTCTTTGTAGGTAACAGCATGACCAAATACACTGAGAAGCTAGAAGAGATTAAAAAAAGTGAGTAAACGCTATTGGTGGTTTGGGAGAAACGGAGAGTCCGTATCTGGTCTGTACCATGGATATTTATTAATAACCCTAACTATGCTGTGGCTGGTACACACTGTAGGTGTGGGGTGTGAGACTGATGCCGTGGTGGGAGCTGGGAGGCAGGAGCCTGGTCGCTGCCTAGACAGAGGTATAAACACTATGCACCGTCCTTACCAGCCGCTGAGCTTCCAGCCTGTGGGTCCACCCTCTGTCTAACCCACATGCCATCCAAAAAAGGACAACCCTGTTACCTTTGATTCAGTTCCAACTCACGGCAGCCCTACGTACAAGGAGTAGAACTGCTTCACAAGTCGCCTTGGCCATCAGTTTTATGGAAACAGATCTCTAGGCCTTCCTTCCACGGTGTCTCTAGGTGGGTTTGAACTGCTAACCTTCAGGGTAGTAGTTGAGTGCAAACCATTTGCCCCACCCAAGAGATTCCATAAGAGATGTTAATGTCAGAATGAGGGGTGAGGTCTGGTGGAATGGGGCTAAGCAGTCAAAACTCAAGCTCCTTGTTTCATTGCACCCCAGTCTTCATGGCCTTTTTCAAGGTACTTAATGTTTCCTATCATGGTATTTTCTCTATACCTGGCATAGGGTAATAATAGCGCTGGTGCTGCACAGTGTCCTTTTGAGTATAAATTAGAGAGTGTTCATGAAAGACTTAGAGGTGTGAGAAAGGAAGAGCTTGTCCTTAAAGTGGTGTCATGCACTGTCAGCTCTCTGCAGTTGGCTTTTCCTTTAATTACAAACCATATTTCATGCCCATCCTTTTTAAAAACGAATCTTATGCAAAGGTATGCCATTGGTCATTGAGTGCATGGCCCTGGCACGAAATCGTACTTGTTGGTCCTGTGTCCAGAACTGATGTAAATGGTACACATCAGAAGCAGAATTAAATGAGCAACAGAAACACCTGTTTTCTGAGATGGATTTGCTCATGCTTAAGTAGGAGGACCCCGTGTTAGGAGAGTATTTAGCTAATGGTAGGAAAGAAGGGTCTTTGACAGAGGTGGGGACTCAGCTCCAGTAATACTCTCTTGCAAGAGAATATTACGAACCCACCAGGGGTAAAGCTCAGGAGGCAGGAAGGGATCGGAAAGAAGAACAAGTGCAGACACTGAACCCTGGGAGGAAGTGTGAAGAGGCTGATACAATGTGGGGAGTGCAGCCAGTGTCACAAACCAAAATGTCTATGAACTGTTGAATGGAAAACCAATTTGTCTGTAAACTTTCACCCAAATCACCAAAAAAGGTTATTTTAAAAAAAGAGAATATTACAAACCCAGAATATACTAGAGCTTTATTTATTTATTTATGCTAAATGCATAAGAAACTCACTGCCGTCGAGTCGGATCCAACTCTTAGTGACCCCTCCTTGGGTTTCCGAGGCAATATCTCTACAGAAGTAGATTGCCCAACCTTCCTTCCGAGGAGTAGCTGGTGGGTTTGAACTGCCAGCCTTCTGATTAGCAGTCAAATGCCTTAGGCCTTTTAATTTAGAAGGATAATGTTTCTGTTCCTTTTGAATTGCTGCTCCGTTGGGAAGCCCCTGACAGTAGATATGGATTGACAAGCAGCTTTATGCCAACTTCATTTCAGTTTGCTATTTTCAGCCATGCAGAGTAATGTTATAGATATTTTTTTGTTGTCTAATATCACAGTATCCTCTTTCCTTACATACTTTTATATTATTTATAAATGTATGTTTAAATATATACATATATATGCACCCAGGGACTCATATAGTATATATTACATTTGCAAACCGTGAAGATAATCTTGTTTACTCACCAGTGTTTCACTGTTGACCTTTGTCTGTCCAAGGCAGGCAACATTCAGCTGGCCCGTTTCTCCTTTGCTTTGTTGTTGTACATCTCCCATCCATTTGTAGCTGAGGTGAGCTGAAACACCATACCAGAAACTTGTCCCATAACAATGTATTGTCCTACCCATGTTTTCAAAACCCTGCTGAAGACAGTTCTTCAAACTACAGCATGGTCACTTTAATGCCTAAACTTTAAGTGGAGTTTAGCTCCGACAAGCAACTCCTTTACAACGGACTCCTTGGCAGTACTGACCTCCCCTCCCTCTGTGCAAGCTGTGGCTTCCCATTAGGCAGGCAGGAGGTGCCTCTCACCTTGCTTCACACACTTTGTGTTGAGTCCTGACTAGAATTACTTGGGATTGTATTTTGGGATCTGCATTTTGGAAGATACTTCCTTCTCTTTTCCCATCTTCTGTTGTAGGTGTTCTTTGGGTCAAAAGGGAAGAGAAGATCGTCTTGTTCCACGACACTCTAGACCCATCCCTTAACTTGGGTTACCTGAGCTGCCGTGTCTTTCTGTGAAATCACAGACTTTGTTCTGTGACTTCCATTGATTGGTCTTCCACTATGAGCCCAACTTCCCTTTGCTAATAATGTGTTTTAACAGAACCCTGAAAACGCAGAAATACTTTGTAATCTGAATAGTCTTTCAACTCTGTCTGGGGAAAACAGACACTGTGTCTATTGACTGCTCACAAAGCCCATTCTTGGTTCCTGGTGGTTAGATGACACTGGTTGGGCCCAGTGTGAAACACCCTGGATAGTCGGGTCTCTGTCCTTCCAGTAACTTGAGAGAGACAGACTTAGACCCCAGACTTACTGGAGAAGCAAAATTTGATAACACATCTGAAGCGAGGAGTATTTGTCTTCCCCACCGAGTTTTGGAGCAGCCACAGTGGCAGACGCTCCATTCCTGAAGCTCTATCTGCTCTTGTGAGGACAGAGTGACGGCGCTTTCCAAGCCAGCATTTTTATAAACTTTCAAACTTACTCTAAAACGTATAGCTTGATCTCTTAGCTCTGAGTAATAATGTCAGAAAGTCCTAATGATGGCTCTCCTTCTAAACCAGAACCAGGTACGTGGAGTTGAGGCTCAAATGTGCAGCAGGGTGGTTGCTAGCGCGTGGGTAGAGAACATTAGACATGCCACTCACGAGAAAATGGCAAAGCCTACTTCTTGTTTAAGGCAATCTCCGGTTAGAGAGGGTTCTAGCATGTGCAGTTTGTATTTAGAAGGTGGAGTGTTGGAGAAGACATGTTTTTCAAACTATGTAAACATACCAGAGGGATATGGATGGATAAGTGTCGGGGTGCCCAAGGCGTGAAAGCTGTTGATTGTTTTCGTCGCCTGATGTATTGCCATTTGTATTTACATCAGGCACTTAGGCTGTGCGAGTTGATGTCAGCTGGGTGGAATACTAGTTATTCAGTTACACTTTTTAAAGCACCTGCTCAGCCTTGTGGGAGCAGATCCTGGCAGGATTTAGAAGCTCCTTTTCATCCAAGTGTGTTACCTTGATGTGTTCAGAAGCTGCGCTAAGAATTTTCTAGTAGTAATGGTCAGTTATTAGCTACATCCCTCTCTAAGACATTTTAGAACAGAGAAACATTAATGCTCTGAAGAGGAGTCTCTCTGTATTTACAGAGGGCTGGCTTTGAAAGTAGTATAATTTCCTGGCTGTGAGTCTTCAGGTGTTTGGTAAACTAAGCTCACATTATCCTGCAAAGTAACCAGCCGGTCTGTGCTGGTTTTTTGGAAAATTCAGAGAAATGCTTAGTAATCCCAGGGAAATAATCTTAAATACCTTTAATCCTTTCCTTTGTTGCTAGGAGTCTTGGTTTATGAGATACTTATGGTCTAAAGGCCATAGCAGTTGTCCAGCCAACCTTTAGTAATTTTGAAATAATGAGGCAGTATTTAAGGCGTCATGGTTGCCAATATCAAAACTGAGACACAAGGAGTGAGAAGTGCCAGGAGGCAGGAGTTCCACACTGGAAACTTTTCGGTTGGCACTTGCCTTCAGAAAAGTTCTAAAGGAAGCAAACTCTTAACGTGCAGCTGTGGGCACTTACTAGGTAAAGTGAAATTGGCTCAATTTCAAACACTTGTTCAACGGGAGATGAAGAATTAGTAACACAAGGGCAGAAGTGACCCATTCGACTTCTGTCTCTGACTGTAAAGATAGAAACCTGTTGCCCTAGAAGCCATTCTGAGTCATGGTGAGCCCACATGTAAAGATAGCACTGAATAAATAGTGATGTTGTCAGTTGACTTTTACTGGAGTTGGAGAGAAGCTGACAGCAGGAGACTATCAAGATAAGTCATAACTTTGTGCCCCGCTTTGTATCTGGGGTGGGGGTGGGGGACTCTTATCCTATGTCTCTTGCCATAATGTATGACCTCAGGAAGAGCTCATTTCCGGCTGGAATCACAGCTGTGTCGGTGTAAAGGTTCTGCCAGTGACCGGGGGTCACTCAGCTGGATCTCTTCTCATTTGTGAAATGCAGACAAGTATTCCCTGTATTGTCCCAAAAAGGATTCTAAGCAGCTTACAAATCTGCATCCAATGTGGTATGGGAAAAGCAGAGACAACATAGGAAAGGAAAATGGTGGACTCATCAAATGAAGGCCAGGGGTCAGGTCAGTAGACACAAAAAGGTGGCTTATCAATTCAACCTTCCGTTTCCTGCTGGGAAAACATGAAGACATGATCATACATCCTGCCCCACCTAACTTGGGGGGGTTGCTGTGAAGGATGTAGAAAAGCTTGTAAAGATGTAGAACAATGTAGCATGGAACTTGATGACTAGAAAGAATTAATGGATTGAGACTCCAAGAAAGCAGAATAAACCTAGAAAAATCTTTGCCCTCTCCTGTTTTTCAGATTATAGATACAAAAAAGATGAGCTTTTCAAGAGACTAAAAGTGACAACCTTTGCCCAGCTGGTAAGTTCAGTGGGCTTCCACTGGAATGAAGAATGCCTCATCTGTGCTCCCTGATACAATATTCCTCAATTCCATTCCGGAGAAGGTGTGCGGAGGGGTTTCTGCTGGTGCTTGTATCTCATCGGTGGGAGGATGTGTAGTGTGTGCGTACATGGGGGTGATTGGAAACTTCCCTGTAAAGTAAAAGTATATTTTACTTTTAATTACTCAGGTTTACGATTCAGGTTTTATTTTTCTTGTGTATTTACTTTAATATTTAGATCTAGAATTCTGGGTCTGGATCTTTGGACCTTTGTCTTTGTGGAAACCAGTGAACTCCCTTTCCTTCGGTGGCAGGCTCCTCTCCAGGTTATCCTGCCATCGGCTGTTTGTTACTTTGGTCAAGGCAGTTCCTTCCTTCTTTTAAAACCCTGTCTTTCTGGCCCCTAAACAAGAGTGACATTGGTATAACTGAATTCGGATTCTTGGGTCTTATAAACCAAGTTATGAAAAGTGCTTTGAAGAGGCAAACTGGACACTGGTGTAAGTAATGCTGTCATCAGTATATTCACAATTGCACTTATTTCTTTACTACATGATGAATTGGTGATGTCCTTCTCTGTTACTGTATGTCAGTATTGCATTTGCAAGAAATAACATGTTAGGTGTCAACCAGAGTACCTGCAAATGTCGTTTTAAAACCCTTACTCATATTTCTTCTCCTAAATTGTCCTTCTGGACTTTTAAGTTAATCATGTAATGGTTTAAATGAATCTTTCCTTCTGGAATGATTATCCTCCGTTTAATTGCTATCCTCCCTGCCCCTCCCTGAGTGAGGGGGCTGAGAGCTAGACTCTGGTTGAAGGCACGGGCAGCTTTTTCAGACGAGAGGTCTTTGATGTTCCCTCATCTTTTATAAAAGACAGAATTGCCTCGCTGAAACACACACACACATTTACACATTTTACTCTTTTCTTTCAGGTCATCCAAGTTGCTTCCCTGTCTGATCAAACACTGGAAGTGACAGCTGAGGAGATTCAAAGACTAGAAGGTAATAATATTGAGGGTGTGAGAAAAGTAACAGAGAGACCATTTGCCAGAAGGACTCACCAGCACACATTTGTTGTGTTTGCTGGGACATGGGACTTTGATGTGCCTACTTGTAATGAAGTTGTCCCTCTTGGAGAAATCGTCATGGGTGTTTTAATTGTTTCGTTCTTACTCTCTGGAAAAGCCACCTGCTTTTCCAGCTCTAGCATTCGTGGTTTTGAATGTCTGAGATGCATTTAATCTACTAATTACTTGTTTCAACAAGTATTTTTGAACGCGTTCAATATGTGTGTAAGGAGCCCTGGTGGTGCGGTGGTTATGCGCTTGGCTGCTAACTGTAAGGTCAGTGGTTCAAATCTACCAGCCATTCCCTGGGACAAAGATGTGACATTCTGCCTGCATAAAGATTTACAGCCTTGGAAACCCTGTGGGGCAATTCTACTGTAGGGTTACTATGAGTTGGAATGGACTTGACAGCACATAACCACGTATGTATATAGGTCCCGTATTTGGTGCTATGAGACTACAAAAATGAATAAAACTCAACTCTGTTCTTTTGGAGTGTGTAGTCATGTGTGTGCATATAGGGGTGTGTGGGTGTGTGTTGGGTGGGGATATGATGACAGGACCCCAGAATTACTAATCTGGCTGAATTTAATCATGGTGGTGTGGGAGGAAACTGCCATTTGTTGACTGGATCGCTAGGTGCTTCATGCAGATTTTCTTATTTAATGTTATCAGAAAACACTAGAAGGAAAGTGTTCATCTCTACACTTCACAGCTGAGAAACCCAAGCCTCAGAGACTTCATTACTTGCTGAAGGAGCTACGGATGAGGGGACAGAGACCTGGGAGACAGATCCAAGTGTCTCCAGTAACAAAGTCCAGTGTCTTCCCACTGCCTGTCCTGCATCCTTCAGGGATTCTGGAAAATTCCCTTAGTGAGATGCAGGGCGCCATGGGAGTTCGGAGGCAGGAGAGGAGCGTTCCAGTTAGGAAGCCAAGTTATGCGTCCTTGAGAGCACTTTGGAGCTGGGCCTTGAAGGGGGACAAGTGCAAACTGAGGCCAGTGCACGAGGTGACAGAGCGCCAGACGCGATGGGGAATCGTGTCACCCATCCTGGCGCTCTGGTCTCAGGAGGATAGGTGCTGGGTAAGAGACAAGGCCACAAAGGGGGGGCTCCCGATTTCCTTCCTTAAATACCGACTTGAAAGTAAAGGCCCTTATTCGTACGAGCCTGAAAAGAAGACGCAGAATTCAGGTCTCTTACGCCAAAGCACCAAGCCATCAAGGCAGAGCTTGTTTACTGGCGAGGAATGTGTTTTGTCCAGGCTGATGTAGGCCAAGAATGGGACCTGTGATTTCAAGACAAGTTTCTCAGGAACTTTGAACACTGGGTTTGCGCACCTCGCGTGGCATTTCCCTGGGCTTGTTTTGTTAGAGAGAATAAAGAAAGCTGGGGCTTTCTCTCTGACAGACGCCGCTCACACAGCAGAGAGAGAAGGGCTCTTTGTAACAGAGATAATTGAGTCTCCTGGTACAAGCACTCCCAGTTCTAACCTGGTTACATAAGCACCTGCATTTGGTCCTTTCATTCGCTGTTGAGATTGCAGCCTCAGAACATACAGACCCATGCCCATCTCTGCGAGCACAACAAGCTTTTAGAAAGTAGGACGCCATGATGGGCGAGGGCCATTAGTGTCCATCTAGCACTCTGTGCAGAATAATAACTCACTCAGGAACGAGGGGAGGACAGGTTGCCTCGGTAACATCTCTGTTCCTAATGTTGACTGCTTTTTCCTGATTGAAAAGGGTATTTACATTGGTGAATTGGCATATGTTTTATTGGGTCTATTTTCACCACAAAAGTTTTGAAAAAGTCTATTTACAGAAAATTAGAGAAATGCAAATATAGATAGACATGTATAAATAAGAGAATTGAAATCGCTTAATAATCACTGTTAATATTTGGTCCGTTTTCCCCCATTGCCCTCCTCAGCTTCACAGTTCACCCCAACCAGCTTCACACTTTTGTGGGTAGCTTTGCCCCATGCCTCTCTGAGTGAGCATTTCATCATTGCCTGCTTTCCTGTGTCAGTAAAGAGTCCTCAGTAGCACAATTGTACAGGTCACGTTGCCATAACGTCTGTCCTTTGGATATACTGTAATTTAGTTATAATTCTCCTATTGTTGGGCGAGATCTTTTTTTTCTCATTTTTCTCTTTTATCAAATAACACCGCAGTGTGTGTACGTAAATTTTTGTTTGGTTCTGCTTAGGCTCTGAAAATAAATTGCTGTAGCTGGTCAAAAAGTAGAACCGTTTTAAGACCCTGCATGCTCGCCGTCACACTGCCCTCCATCCACAACGGTTTGACCTGTTTACGATCCAACAAGAGTGTGTGAGAATGTCCCTTCCTCCCTCTCCCAGCCAGCCGAACAATGGTGGTTTTTGTAAATATTTGAGAATTTGATCGATGTAAAAACAGTATCTAATCATTTTGACTTGAATTGCTTTGCAGGTGAGGTTGAGCCCTGTGTTGTGTGTGGGGGGGAGTATTTCTTCTTTTGAGGACTTTGTGTCTCCTTTCCCTTTTTTGTTTTAAGTAATGGGATATTCATCCATGTAGAATTGTGATACCTTTATACGATGGGAACAAAAACAGCCTTGAAAATGAATGAGCTAAATCTTTACTTGCTAATTTGGAATAATTCCTAAGCTACGTAGGGTCTTAAGTAAAAAGGAGAGGAAAAAACACAGTGTAAAGCAGTGTGAATGGCATACTCCTGTGTATGTAGAAAGGAGAGGAAGTGAAATACATGCAGAAATATATAGTCGTCTCATTTCTGGAAGGAGATGTTAATGTGTGAGTGTGACTACCATGGGGGAAGAAGCCTGTGCGACTGCCGGTAGGAAGGGGGAAGACATCCTTGCCGTATTAGCAATTGTATCCTGTTTGCATTTTTATCTCTCTGTGCCATGATCCTTTTTTAATTAATTAGTTGATTTAAAAAAAACTTTCTAAATTAAGTATGTTAATCTTTTCTCGTTTATATATGTTACAAATATTTTTTCCTAATTTGTTATTCATCTTTTAATTTTCTTCTGTTGGCTTTTATTTATTTCTACATATACCGTGTGTGTGTGTGTGTGTGTGTGTGTGTATTTGTTGTTGTTATGTGCCCTTGAGTTGGACCCGACTCATAGCGACCCCTCCTTGGGTTTCTGAGGCAGTATCACTACAGATGTTGATTGCCCTGTCTTCCTTCTGAGGAGTTGCTGGTAGGTTTGAACTGCCAGCCCTCTGGTTAACAGTCCAGTGCCTTAGACCCAGAAAGTCCACAGTAAGGTGAATTATTATTCACCTCTGTTTTCTTCTTTTGGTTTGTTCTATTTGTTTGTTTCCTCTACGTTTCACCCATGTGTAATATATTTTGGTGTATGATGTGAGGTGATTATCTAAATTTGTTTAGACTGTGAAATTATCCCGACACCATGTATGGAGGAGTGTTCTCTTCACTCACTGATATGTGAAGTCATTTTTAACATATATTTTATAATACATAGTCTAGGAATTTTTTTCTTGTTTTCTTTTGTATTGCATTGTTCTACATCATTTACATTTTTGATATATGTTACCCTCTGTTAAAGCAGATTCTCCAAAATTTTTATATGGATACAGAGCTGCACACACATACATACATATATTTTTTTTTCTCATCTTTAAAATCCCTTCAAGTTTTTATTTCTAATTCCATTGGGATTCCAAGTTAAACTTAGCAAGGATCAGCATTCCAATAAAATCACCATCTTTATTCAAGTGGTCTGTAATGCTCCTAGGGAAAGTTTTCCCAAGTCATGTAAAGGCTTATAAGTTTTTACAGGTTTTTTACATCTCTCGTTAGGTTTGTTTCTACGTCTGCAGTTGTTCCTGTAAATGAGATTAGCTTCCTGTTATTTTCTAACTGCTTTGTAGGGAAACTATTGTTTGTTACTATTTATTTTGTTATCTAACCATTTATTTATTTTCTGCATTCTAATAATATTTTCTTGAGGTTTCGGATATATTATTGGATCATCTACAAATTAAATTTTAATATCCTTTCTAATAGCTCAAAAGCAAACCCACTGCCATCGAGGCCCTCTGGACACCTAGCGACCCTGTAGGACAGAGTACAACAACCTCATATGGTTTCCAAGGCTGTAAAGCTTTAAGGAAGCAGAATGTTACGTCTTTTTCCTGTGGAGCAGCCAGTGGTCTCAAACCACTGACCTTTCAGTTTGCAGCTGAGTACTTTAACCACTGTACCACCAGGGTTCCTTTCTTTTAATAGTACTCTTATTTCTGTTTCTTCCCTCATTATATTGGCTAGAACATCCAATACTCAAAACTCTTTGGTCTTAGGACCCCTCTACACTCTTAAAAATTACTGATGCTCCCAAAGAGCCATGGTTTCTGTGGATTATATCTGCTAATAGTTACTGTATTAAAAATGTGAACTGAGAACTTAAAAATAGTTATTTACTACTTCATTTAAAAATAGCTATTAAATCCACTACAAACATAGATATTTATAGAAAAATAACTCTATTTTTCCAAGCAAAAAAAATTTACTGTTTTACATTTTTGCACATCTCTTTAACATCTGTCTTAATAGAAGACAGCTGCATTATTTGCTTCTATATTTGATCTGTTGCGTATACTGTTCTGGTTGAAGTATATGAAGAAAATCCAGCCTCACACCAACCTGTAGTTGGAAAACAGTGGAACATTTTAATAGCTCTTGAGAGAGTGGGAGCTGTTTTTCTTCGATACTCCACCAGAACTCAGCTGGTAGTTTCTTAGAAGTTAGTTGCCACATGGAATCTGAAACCTATCAGTGAGCTTCCCGTGCACAATTACATTAAAATCCACTGGCCTGTCTTGTACTTTGAGTGGATCTTTTGCCCTTGCTTGATTTTATAACACCATGCATTTCAAAACTACTGGTTCACCGAGTTAGTAGATCTTCCAAATGGCGATGCATTTCATTATCCAGTATAATAATAATAAATAAAAAATGCATCCGTTAATCTCAGCATCTCGCTCATCAGAAAAATCTAAGTGTTGGGAAACGGTCAGGCTCCTGCTGGAAAGTCAATTCTCAAACTTCTGATTCATGATAGAAATTTCATCACTGGCAGCAAATACCATCATGTTTTTCCGACATGACAAGCTCATTCTGTTCATTTTTGAGAAAATGCCTGCCAAATACCCAAGTCTGAATAATCATAGTTTTCATCCGTTTTTCTTCCAGGTAACAATGTGCTCACAAAAGGGGGGGCCGTCCAGTTCAGTGGTCTACAGCAAATGCTTTCGGGGTTCCTCCCGTTTCTTTGCACAGAATATCAAGCAGATGTGTACTTAAGGGTGGGATTTGACACAGATTGATTTTTACTGCTTCGTTAAGGATGTTTTTTAGTGAGACCGGCATATTTGTCTGCTGTGAATATGTGCGTGATGGGAAAGACTGTATCGCACACTAATGCAGTTTGGTGCCACTGCCTTGGTTGTACTAAGGTGCTGGCAGCTCTACCCAGCATTTCAGTGCAGGTACCAACATGGTAAGAAAGACGAGGAACATCTCAGTGTGGCTACAAGCTAGGTTCGCCCTGCAGACGCCCTGAAAGGGTCTGGGTGATTCCTAGGGTTCCCAAACTACTTACTGAGAAGGACTAGAACAGTGTAAGAATGGTGGTAGGATTTTTTTGTCTGGATCTAATTTCAGTGGAAATATCTAATGATGATCAAAGCCACACCAGTTCCCCTTGACTCTGACACATGGTAACCCCACGTATGCCAGAGAACCGCCCTCACTCTCAGACTTATGACCAGTCAGAAGCAGGTCACCAGGCCTGTCTTCCAAGGCGCCTCTGGCTGGATTCAAACTGCCAAGTTTAGGGTTAGCAGTCGAGCGCTTAACCTTTCTCACCACCCAGGAGCTCCTGGAAATGCCTAATAAGTGAATCAGAGTTCTGAGGTTAAACTTACTTAATCATTTGCAAATTTTAGACAACGATCCTGGGACTTCAGACCCTGATGTGGAGAACAGTGCCAGGACCAATGGGAAAGGGAGCCCTGGTGGGCAGTCGCCTAGTCCCGTCCAGTTCATAAACAACGTGGGAGCCGGGGACTCCAGCCGCTCGACGCTGCAGAGGTACTCCAACAATCCGTGTCTCCTTGGCTTTTTACCTGGGGTTCATCTGGAGCGGGCTTTGCGGGTTTCCTTACTGTACAGAACCAGCGGCAGCGGAGTCCCGTCTGAATCCCAGCCTTTGCTCTTTCTCGTTATGTGAACGCCACCCCCTGAGTTCTCTCGCAGCACTCTTGGTAGTTAATGTAAGAATATTAATAGATTATTAATGTTCACTCCTCCCTTCCACTCTTCTCAGCCTTCCTACGCTCAAATTTGTTATTAGGACTTAGCTTTACAACTACTATCTTTTGATTCAAAGAGTAGGACTTTTTTTCCCCTTTCTCTGTTACCGCTTACAGTTTACCCTGTCTAGAGTCAGAGAGCCGTCCGTTGTTCTCTGCTGTTGACCAGTAGGTGCAGAGAGGAGCAAAGGGGAGGCAGGTGCTGTCGCGTTGATGGGGGCACTGCCCGCGGGCTGGTCCTCCTTCCCTGGAGACGCAGCACTGTCCCACAGCTGACTCACTACCGCTCGTGAGACCGTGCTGACTCTCAGCACATACTCACGCCGTCTGTGGGAGCACACAGACCACGCTTCACCTACTATGGAAAGAACCACTGTTAGTACCACTGTTCGTATTGTTATAGCTGCTTTTGTGAAAGAACTCTTAAAACTGCACTGAAAAAGAGATAGCCCTTCACCAAGGGCACCATTTCACATCAAAGGGGTTTTCTTCTGCCTTGGTTCCAGAGGATAGGCACTCACCATGGCATGTAGTTATCATGTGTATCGAATGTAAGTGAGGAATTTGATTTATTTGCCTTGATGGGAAAAGGAACTGTGCTACCTGTTTACCTGGAATTGGGTGGGTGGGTCTGAATACTCACCTAGGGGAGGGAACATCTTCTCATTTGAACATCTTCTCAGATACTTCACTACTTGGCATTTTGTTCCTGACACATGCTCTTCTCACTTCTCTCATTTATGTTTGCACCACACTTTATGTATCATTGTTGTGGTGACCCGTGTTAGGATGTAATGACCGTAGGAACAGAACTGGAGGAGTTGTGAGGTCCCACCCTTTCATACCAGCCCTTCCTCTTTCTCAGTCCTGTATGTGAGAGCCACCAAATCTAAAAGCCTCTCCAGCCTCAGTGATTGAACCCGTAAAGTGGAAGGAGGTTCAGATAGCTTATGAAAGCATTAAGGGTCCATATCCTTGTTGCCTGGACCATTGTATGAGCATATGAAATACATGAAAATGTTACTGTTCCTTGATATTACATAAACACACACATAAATGCCTTTCTCTTATCAACTTTATTAAGCAGCCTTGGTGGCACAATGGTTGAGCACTTGGCTGCTAGACAAAAGGTCGGCGGTTCAAATCCACCAGCAGCTCCGCTGGAGAAAAACCAGGCAATCTGCTTCTGTAAAGACTACAGGCTTAGAGACCCTAGGTGGCCGTTCTACTCTGCCCTGTATGGTTGCTGTGAGTCGGAATCGACTCACCTGCAGTGGGGTTTTCTGTCGACCTGGTTCCTCCTTTTGCTGTTTTCTTACACTGCTCATACTTCCCTCAGATTAACTGCTCCCCTCTCCTGCCACAGAAGGCTGCCCTTGTTGCTGGGGGCAGCATGTGCCCTATGGTTTCTGTCCCCTCTGCCATGCTAATGGCCCAACATGCGTTCTCCATAGGTGGGTCTGGACACGTGGATTCCCCATTGGGGTCCAGTGGGATAGAATAGGAATCAGAGTCAGAAACGAGACACTGTATCCATTCTCCTTTCTTCTTCAAAAGACACTGGGCACTCATCTCACTGTTCTGCTGGAATGCAATTGACCTTTAAGCCACCGGCCTGGACTAGTTCCTCCTGACCTACTTTTCCATTCGCAGCGTCATCAGTGGTGTTGGGGAGCTGGACCTAGACAAAGGGCCAGTGAAGAAAGCAGAGCCCAACACCAAAGACCAACCTTATCCCGACTGCCCCTTCCTGCTGCTCGACGTGCGAGATAGAGACTCTTACCAGCAGTGCCACATTGTTGGAGGTGAGAGAGGCATAGCCTGACAGTGTCTTGCTCCCAGAAGCAGAGCCGGTTTGGAGTCCAGGCGGCCTGGAGACACGTCCCCTGGAACCCTGGGAGAGCTGGACCCGTGATGGGCGGTGGGCTTGGCTCTGCTGTCATACCCACAGAGGCTGGCAAGGGGCTCCATCCTAAAGATCTGAACAGTAACTGAGGCTTCATGTTTTGTTCATAGTGTCCTTTTCTTTCAGGAGAGTAATTTGTTTTATGACTTGATGGTTTTAAAAATGTGTTTCTTTGACTTCCATCTTTTAACTCCTAGTTAAATCTTAAATTAGCTGGAAATTGGGGCCAGCTTGTGCTAAGGGAGCTACAGACATCCTAAGCCTTTTCTTCTTTTTGCAGCATACAGTTATCCAATTGCAACTCTATCTAGAACAATGAACCCTTATTCAAATGATATTCTTGAATATGTATCCTTTGCTGCATGCTAAGGAGTTGGACGGTATGAGGACTGTAAGAATCGAACTTAATCACAGACCGTACTCCTGGTCACAGTACTCTTAGAAGGACCTTTGGTGTGAATCAGCCTCACGTGTTTAGGATTGGAGTGCTTGGCTGTTTACTAAGCATTCTGACAGTGTGGAGACAGACGCTTCCAAACCAACCCTGCATTGGGCACAAAGACATTCCAGTACAGTTGTGGTCTGTTGAGAGTGAGGCCCAAGACTTTTTTCCCTAGAAATCTTGACCAAGTAAAACTTAAGAGGTAAATCTTCTTTTCCTTTTTTTAAAACTCTTCTTTCTTAAAATTTTAAATTTTTTTGCCCCAGAAAATCATACAAGTAGAAAATAATTTATTGAAAAATCTAAACAAGGAAATTGGACTCTCCCATAACTTCACAATTGAACAACTTCTCCAGTGACGTTTGTGGCGGGTTTTATTCCTACTCCTTCCATGTAGTTTCCTTAACAAAGCTGAGATCATACTGCGTATGTAATTGAGTATATTGCGTTTTTTTTTCTCACCTCTTTGTATTGCAGGGTCTTTTCCGATGCTCACACAAGACTTTTGTAAATCTCATTTTTGAAACTGTGTATATAATAACACTCATCTTTGAATTTAATGTAGTTTGCTAAACCATTCCTCTGTATTGGACTTATAGCTGGGTTTTTGGTTTTTTTTTTTTTTTTAACTGGCTAAAGTAGACACACTGGGCATTAGACTTTTTCTATTTCCTTATCTGTGAAATGGGAATCATAATGGATACTTTCCAAGATTATAAGGATAAAAAAGCTGAAGGGTACAGAACACCTTAACTGGTGCTGTCTTGGACCGTAGTAATATTAGTTTAAAAAAGAAAAGAATACCAGCCTATGTGGTTTCCAAGACAGGAAAACCCAATAGCTGGTGGTCTGACCGTGAAGAGTGGGGTCATCGGACGTCCCCTGAAATCAGCGTTTGTTCCTAGAGGGTTTCTTGTAGTCTGGGGGCATTAGCTCGGTGCTGCCAAACCTTAACTCATCTGACTGTTAGAAAAACGCCCATGGCAAGATCATCATCCTGTATGACGATGACGAGAGGCTGGCCAGCCAGGCAGCCACCACCATGTGCGAGCGGGGCTTCGAGAACCTCTTCATGCTTTCCGGAGGTGAGCCGGGCTTGGTTCTTCTTGGGACATAACAGACAGGTGTGTGGACTCCCAGCCCTCCAACCCCACCCCTCTTTCCTGTCAGCACTCACAATTTAGTCTTCTGGGAAGAGAAAGCCACACGGGCTGGAATGATCAGGAGTCAAGCAAGACACTCATTAGTTCCCTCAGCAGCACATGGTTTAATTCCTGAAGTAAAGACACAGCTTTAGGGCTGTGTGAGAAAGCCATAGTGTGGAAGTCTTGAGCAAAAGGAGTCTGTGGCATTCTCAGAATCCCACGTAACAAGTGGCATTTTCTGGTGCAATTTGCTTAATGGTGGAGCAGTTGTGGAAATGTCAGGCCCTTGCAATGTTGGCCTCTACTTGGTGACTAGAGACTAGAAGACATGCAGGATTCTCTCCAGACCTTGGCTTGGCCCCACCATGTTAATGCTGCTCTTTCTGATCTACACCTAGGTCTAAAAGTCTTAGCTCAGAAATTTCCAGAAGGACTGATCACTGGTTCCCTGCCAGCATCCTGCCAGCAGGCGCTTCCCCCTGGTTGTGCTCGGAAAAGATCAAGCCCCAAAGTGCCACCCCTCCCGGCCGAGAATAAATGGAGATTTACGTCAGAAGACTTAAAAAAGATAGAATATTACCTGGAAGAGGATCAGGGGCCTGCAGAAAACCCTAGTAAGATATTTGGACCTTCGGAGATTTTGTTTTCTGTGGGGCTTGAGGTTTTCAGCATTGAGCATCACCTCATCCCATCGCATGAGAAGCTTGATCTCTTACATTCAGATTCTGGAGACACTTGTGTGTGTGTATGTGTTTGTGTGAATGAGTGTGTGTGTGTGGTGCAGGTGCTGTGGGGGTGGAGGTGACCTGAAACGGTGCCCAGGATGAGGCCTGGAGTACAGACATGGACAGAGATGAGAGTTTATTGGTCAAATCCAGCGTCTGTGTCAGGCACAGTTGAGAAGTTAAGCGTAAGGCACCCCGATCCCCTCTGGAAAAGTTCGTGTTCCCTCCTGCTCCTCCTGACCGCATGTCGGCCGCTTCAGAACGCCCTTGTGGTTTGCCTTCCTGCCGGACCACATGACTTCTCTCCTCCTTCCTCTCATCTCCTCTCGTTATCCTCTACCAGGAAAGGAAGGAAGGGCAGAGCGGGTTGGTTGGAGATAATGAAGAGGAAAAAATAAGCTCTCTGGGTTTCTATCGCTCCCTGCCCCTCCCCCGCTTCAAGTCCATCCCGAGGATGAAGAGTAGGTCATCCTTAGCTGCAGGGAGATGCTGAGTAGGACTTCATTAGCTTAAAAGTGGCTGTGGAGTAATAAGACTTCATTAGCTTAAAAGTGTGCCTGGCAGATTGCTCCGGGAACATTCCTGCAGCTCTGCCCCTTGCTCTCTCCCTCCCTCAGGCCGGCTGAACCAAGGGAACACCTCTGGAAGAGACTCCAAGGGTGGAAAAGACTCCAAGGTTCCTGCCACCGGGCCCCTGAGCTCCCGCTCCCTTGGCAGCAGCCCCCCACAAGGCAAGCCCTGGAAGTAAAGACTCCATCTCTCTTAGTCAAATAAATGTTCCCCTCCTTTCGAAACCCCTGAGCATTTCTCAAGTTGGTCATTTTGAGAAACTGCTCGGAGGAAGGGCCACGACCTGTGTGCTAGGCGCTCTGCCCTCCTGCCTCCACCTCCTCCCCACGTCCACGCGGGAAGGCTCTTGACTGGTGACCACCAAACCTACAGCCTGACAGGCTTCAGTACCCTCCCTGTTGTTTACAGAATATTTACGTCTTTGAAACTGAGTGGGAAAAAGAAAGGTCTGCCTTTTTTCAGCTTTTACTTGGTTGAATAAGGTCCAGCATGTCTGGCCTGGACCCGATGTTTTGTAAACGAGTCCGGCACAGCTGCTGGTGTGTTGGCCCCATCCCTTCCCTTTTCTCACACTGCTCTGGTTTTACGAAGGGTTGCCCAAGCAGGGCTCTCACAAAGACGGTCTCGGAGCATCCTGGGGCTGCGGACGCTTAGAGGTCCTGGCAGCGGTGGGCGCACACCATGTGTGGGCCCCGCGCTGGTTCTCTTCCCAGCACGCGCTGAAGGCTCCGTCGGTGGCTGTGAGCGTGGCTCGACGATTTCGTAGAGTAACACTCACCCTTTCCGAACCTTCCTCCTCACCTGTTGTTTCCCTGGTGCCAGCCACCCTGTCCCTCACTGCACCGAGATGACAGTTGTCAGTGCCCGTCACCCACCTCGGGCTCATCCCTGTTAGCTGTGGAGAAATCAGTGGGGCACCTGTGGGTGCTAGGTGAGGGGTACACCACACGGTGCTTTGTCAGAGCCGACAACCCCTTAAGCCCTAGCTTAAAAATACAGTATTAGTCTAATTGAGTAATTAGTGCAATTTTCTGCTTACTTTTCATTCTCATGACTGGGCTGTGATTAGGCAGCTGTGATTATGGATTCTGGTTCGGGCCGGAATTTTGAATCAGCATTAATTGAATTGCTGGATGACTGACGTTCATTCCATTTAATTGGGGGAACAAAAGACTGCAGGTAAGGATGAGGAACTCTGAAATCAGAAGGAATAGGAAAAGAGCCATGTTAATTTTTATGGTCTATGATCAGTAGCTGCGATAAGGGACTAAGGAATAAATTGTGCTCTTCGTCATGGCAACCAGCTCCTGAAAAGCCACCTGAAAATTGCCTGTCCTTAGGTGGTTACTGCTGCTGGGTAAGATTTGCCTTAATGGTACTATTTTCTCACCACCGGGGGAAGAACGCACCACAGTATTTCTAGCAGGGTGGGGAGGAGGGCTGTGTTTGTTAGAGCGAGAGGCAATAAATTTCTCATGGAGACGTACAGAAAAATAACGTTCCAACTCAGCCCAGTTCTGTTCCAGGGTGTGTTTATTCTTCTCCCTGACTTGGTTTCCAAAGGGCAACATTTTCCGAAGCTTTGGAAACCACACAGACCAGGGACATTGTTCAGATGTCAGGCCATGCCCGATTTTCCACAAGATTCAAGAATCTTGTGTAAAGTGTAGCCAACGTACACATAGCTTTAATGAGGAGCCTGTCCTGCTTCCCCATAAATTTACTGCCTGAGAACTTGGTTCAGCCTTTGGCTAATGCCAAAATGCCCTGGCTTTTTATCTTCTTCACAACACAGATAGAAAAATGCAAATGTGTCCACACTCAGCTGTCCCCTAACGTAGACAAGGCTTTCAGTCATTTTTGACACATGTATGTTTTTAAGAAAAAATGTATTTCTGTAACAAAACCTGTGGTTTTGCCATTTGTCAGTTGACTGGGCAGGAGCCTGGACTTGTGCCCTCAGTTCTAGTTGGGAAGTAAAGAGTGGTTCCTCTGTGGTCCGAGGCTGCATCCTCGTATCCAAACGACGCTATCTCATTAGAAACTACTGTGGAGATGTGGAAGTCAGTTCAGCCAAACCCATCACCATCACTGCGTATTCCCCGAGCAACTGGACAGGTTGAAGGTATTTACGTGGACTTCTCTGTAGTATGTAGCCCTGTTGGTAAAGATTTGGAAGAAGCCCTCTGCAAAAGACCTGCTCTGACTCTGCACTTGGTGTGTTACATGTTGCTAGCAGACGTTTTTTCCATGCTCCAGGCGTTGCTTTTAATGTTCAACTTTACTAGTTTCTTCCCTAGGTTCGTTGATATGTATTATTTAAATGATCAGTGATACTCTGTGCAGTTATGAATGTTGAAGATTAAAGTACCTGGTAATTAATGTGGTGTTTGCTCTCGATATGCTGAGATCTGCCAATTTCTCTCTTCCTTTCTGCGGAGATGACTTGGGAGAGCCGCACGAGGCTGAGGCAGTTTGAAAACAGCACCTCTTTTTGCCGCAACTCCCAGAAAAGGGTCTGCTCCATATGTAAGTGGATGGGGAAAGAATTCCAGTTAAGGAGATGGACCTCAGCTCTCCAGTCAGGATCCTGGGTTTATATCTGTGCCCCAGCAGGGACTGTTTGCCACCCTGTACAGATTGTCCCCCGGATTTCTGGTCGGTGTTTCAGGAGTTGACAAGCAGCCCCTGCCTGGGAACTCGTGACCCCCTGGGTGACCCCCTGAGGAGCAGCTCCAATGTTCCCTGCTCAACAGAGATGGCCAGGATTCTAACTAATAGTTAAATGCTTGACAGCAGCTTGTTAAAGGGAGGGAAGGATGGAGGGAGGGCAGGAAAGAAAAAAGGGACGGGGGAGGAGAAGAAACGGGTGTTACTCATTCAAAAATGCAGCAACATTCTGGGCTGTAATAATGCCAGATTTAATCTCTTGAAAGGTATGGAATGATTCACATGGGCTCAAAGTGATTTTACTTTTCACCTTTAGTTTAGAACTAAACACCACAGAACCAGCGCAGTTGCGTTGGACTTGGTATAAATCAGAATTTAAAAAGAACAAATAATGTCCATTAGTCACTCAGTCATTTTTCCCATGGTGCTGTTTAGATGATGGAAAAACTCACGATCGGGTGACTCACCGAGGAAAGAACAAAACAGGCCCCCTTTTCTCTAGTTTCTTTGTGCAAGAAATACGTTGGTAATTTTTCTCCTGTTGGTTTTGGTTTCCACTGTGTTGCATGTTGGTTAGAGATGCTGTCTCGTACGTAGGGGAGTCAATCCTTTCTGTCCACCCGAACTCGTAGCCCTGCCTCCTCTCTTGCTCCATCCGGAGACACTCGCTAGGAACCTTTCCTTTTTCCAGCTCCCAAATACCTCAGAACCTTTCATGGGTGTTTATTTTTATCACAGTTCTTTCAAAGATGTAACTCCCATAATACATTTTTTTTTTCCCCAAGAAACATCAGAAACACGGACTACAATTAATCAGTTTAATTATGTGGACATGTTGAGCGCACAAATGCAGTTCAATTCATTTTTTTAATTAGCAAAATTATTTTTCATACGGAGGTAACAAATAAGACAGACACACTGGGCTTCCCAAGTGTTCAGAATACATTTGAGTAGCACCACTTCCCTCAAATTGTAGTAATTATCGAAATTAGGATTACGGCATCCTTAAATGGGTGTGTCGGTCAGCTGTGGCATGGAATGCCTACTGGGGGAACTTGTCAGCCTTGGATTCATGATGTTAGGTGTGTTTACAGAGCTGCACTGCTCACCCGGATCCCTTACGGTCTCACGCTCCCATGCTCACCCTTTGTTCCCAACGCAGAAGCATATGCTCTTTGCCTGCGTAACATCCCACAGCACCTGGTGAAATGTGCAGCCAACAGAGGTCCTTCATGAAATGCTGTTGGCTGGTGGGCTGCATTTCTTAGAGGATGTAAATATGTCTCCAATTTGGAATCATTTCGACGATAGGCTCCCAGGGGTGAAAATCACCGGCCTGCTCCCATGACCTCTGGTAAGTAAGAGTGCGGAAATGAACTGAACCTGGGCGCGTTGACACACTGACCGATGTTGACGTCCAGGGCGGGAGGCCCACTGTGGTCACCACTCCACACTGGCCAGCCGCTCCGTGGACTGGGAAAGCTTGTTAGCTTTGTCCCCTGCTTCTGTAGCGGGAGCATTCACAGCCCTGAGGGCTTTGGGTCACCCTCGGCGGGGGGAACCCCCAGAGCTGTGGGGGCGTTACTGCCAGCCTGGCTCGTTTGCAGCCAGCCTGGCTTGTTTTCACAGTGCCCCCACGCTCAGAGTAGCCTTCCGAATTCAACACATACAGATTGCGCAGGAGATTAAATCTCCAGGAGAGTGGTTACTTTTCTGTTTAGAATCTTGTCGTTTTCCAGACAACAATACTAGCGCACATGAACGGTGCAGTGTTTCCCATGTGCTGGGCAGTGTCTCTAGATGCTTTGTTGTATCTTTTAACCCATTTAATTCTCACAACAACCCTATGAAGTACTCAAAACCCACTGCCATCTAGTTGATTCCGACTGATAGCAGCCCTGAAGGACAGAGTAGGACTGCCCCATAGGGTTTTCAAGACTGTAAATCTTTATGGAGAGCGGCTGGTGGGATCAAACTGCCGACCTTTTGCTTAGCAGTTGACGATCTTAACCACTGCACCACCAGAGCTCCCTTTCCTATGAGGTGGGCACACCTCACATTCAGGTAAGGAAACTAAAGTTCAAGTAGAAATTAGGCAGCTTGCCCCAAGTTGCTAAGCTGGCCTAGCCCATATTTGTGGCTGTTGCCACGGTCTTTCAGCCATTGTGCCCTTTGCTCCCCACTTGGGGTGAACACAACCCTGTTATCTGTTGGCAATACCTCCAGTCGACTAACAAAAATGTAACTGTCCCTTGGCACTTGGCCTCCCTCCCTCCTCAGTACCTACGGTACCACGGAGAGCTGTCTTCCTTGACCAGCACAAAAGACAGGGTAAACTCTGTGACTGAAACACCCCGTCCTGGAAACAGGGATTTCCACATTTCCATTGTCTGTGTCCTTCCTAATCTCACAGGTGCTCCATCCAAGGTTTCTAAGGTTCATTCTGTTTGTCAGTGGACACCCAGTAAAGTATAACTGAAGGAATGAGAGTTGTAAACGTTTAATTAG